CATGACATAAGAGAAGTTTTCTATACAACAAATAAAATAAATCATTACCTGTGAATTTTATGTTTGTATTTATGAATGTCAACATATCTACAACTATACTGCCATTGGTGTGACAAAGTTCCAGAATGGTACGGTCTGGAAATAACAGAGACAGTAATGCAAAAAAGTGTAAATGGCCAGTAATATGGCCACATTGGTGTGTTTCAAAATGACGGAAAAAAATTATACAGAAATCTACATCCAAGGTCTCTGTACTTTCCATTGGACCATTGGATTAGCACTTGGAAGAGTAAGTGAGGAAGTTTTTACATAACCATAAAAGACAGAGTCACATGTCTAACCTGACATGAGTGCACCTCAAGAAGGGCACTAGAATATGGATACCCGTAAACATCATTTTGAGGTGAAGCCTAATAATCCACACCACTCTGCTGAGGAAACTAATGAGACATAGAATTTAACAGATTGCATAGGAGAGATATTGTACCATGAAGATGCATCTAGAAAGGGACAGACAAGTCTTCACTGTAAGTAATCCAAGTCATAGACTTCAAAGCCTGGATGTCACACCGCCCTCCGGGTCTGCTCCTGTCAGCGGGTGGTATGGGTCCCAGCGGGCGCACATCGTTGCAGCGGCATTCCCTCACGCTAAGGGGAATGCCGCTGAATAGTTACCTTTCCAGCAGATGCCTGTTGGGTCCGCTCATGCCCGGGAACGGACTGAGACGCCGTGGGTACTCCTCGGTCTGGCGGCATTCCCACGAGGCAATGGGACTGCTGCCAATCACTCACCTGAACTTAGTAGTGGCTCCTCCTCCTCATAGCGGCCGGGTCTGTAAACATTAGACCTCGGCTGCTGCAACTTTTAAAGTTTTAAGCGTTTTTAGTTTATCACTTAAAGGGACAGATCATTAATTATGTAGGCGTATCACATGCTTCCCTGCAGCCAATCAGGAAGCACCTTAGACTATATAAGCCTGTTTTGTCCATTTCTCTGTGCCCTGTCATGGTTTCCATTGTGGTTATCCGAGAGCGCGTTCCTTGTATTGATTCTTGTGTATTTGACCTTGGCTTCCCTTTTGATTATCCAATCTCTGTATTCCTTGACCTTTGGCTTGGCTCCTGACTATTCTGATATCTCCTTTCCTTGACTTCATCATTTACGTTATTTCTACATATTGTCTTTACCCTGTCTTGTGTTTTTTTGCCTTTATACGTTAAATCTGGTCATTCTAAGGCCCAGTAATACGTCTTAGGTATTTTTTTATTATCTACTGAAGTTCTGCATATTGGGCATCTACAGTAATCCTGACACTAGAGAATAAGAAGATAGAGCAACAAAACTGGTCACTGGCCAAGAACACCAACTGGTAGAGTTGATAAAGCAGGACGAACTAATGTTTAGAGCGCATCCAGACATCCACACATTAAAATTCATTTTATATGAATCGCACATTGACCTTAGATTCCTTAAATATATGTTCACTGTTTTCAGCACACTGTATGTGTTTCTTTAATGTTTAAGGTCGTTATATTGTTGCATAGCTGGATCTATTATATTATAATGCCTTGATTTTGGTGTCATTTCAACCAAATGTGAAGTTCCTCTAAATTGATTAAGTGCTTTGCACGATTGAACTCAGAATTAGAGCTTTATTTGGTAGAGTTATCTCAGTTGGGTTTTCTTAAATTCCTTGTAAAAAAATTTTGGGGGGGAATAATCATTTATAATGTTTCAAATTCCAGTACTCTGTCAAGAATTCTGACATTTTAGTTGTATTAGCAGACACTGAATTGCTCAAACCTGAAATATGCATGTTTCCTGGTTAACCTTTAAATATAACCATTGCCATTAGTGAATACTCAAACTACAATGTTAGATTATATAAACATGAATGCTATAAAAGGCTCATATCGGAAACTGTGAGTTGAAAACAGGTGGTGTCCTCAGCTCAGACCATGAAGGAAACGGAAGAACGTCTGGCTGTGTGTGCATAATGAAACCAACTGCAAGTAATTCGCCTTCTCTGTTATCACAAATTAAAGATCTGGTCCGAAATTTTGCCCACATAAATAAAGAGAGTGAGGTTCCAGCTTTGTGTACATTTAGATAACAGATTAGAAAGTTATGTACATTGATTATTTTTATGACATTCAGAATATCTGCAGAACCAGATATAGCAGTTTCTAAGGCTGTCATTCTGTGCTGTTAATTGAAGTGAATTAATTTGATCTCTCATAATGAGGTCGATTCAAATCTCCAACATGAAAAAAAATAAATGATGGGATGCTCTGAAATGCAGTTTAGCTAGTTAATGTCCATCATTACAAGACAAAATCAATACAGACCCCTGAAAAGAAAAGCCCCTTGGAAATCAATAACTGTCACTTTTTATTCAAAAGCCTATGAAATCGTACTAAACCCTTCCTTCATTGAGCAGCCTTGACTGGGCAAGGAATGTGTTCAAATAAGCAACAGATATGCTGTGTACTACAATGAATACTTTAGCAACTACCTGAAAAAAGGAGAGAATAGAATTGTAATGTCCTCTCATTTTTGTAATAAGCTGCCTGCAATGCTCAGTTATATCTTGTTTATAATCTCGCACTGTTTTAATATTTGTTGTGTAATGTGTTGTAAAGTGCTGACAGCATGCCCAAAGTTAAACCTTTACAAAGTAATCCACTGGGGATCCTCAGAGTTTCTGCTATAGGTGTGGATTCTATCGCAAGAGGTAAACTTAACTCTAGTAAGGAAAATAGCAATTCTCCCATGGCATCTATCTAATTTAGTTATTATTCAGTTATCCGAGATATGTTTATCTCTTACATTATTGGATGGATGGATTAATGGATGGATGGATTGATGGATGGATAGACAGATGGATACTGTACAGATTCAGAATGTATATTTTGTTAAGAGAGACTGGCATGTAACATTCCCCTATTACCTAATTCACATTCTGCCTATTGGGTAAGAAAGTGTGATGAAAGTGTGGTGTGCCAAAAGAGGGGGAATGATGGAAATACAATGAAAGCTCCTGGTGACAAGTGGAAGTAAAAGCTCCTGCAATGCATGTATGAGTAATAGACTAGAATGCATTACCAGCATGACAGACATGCTATATGGGAGGGTTACATGGGCAGAAATAGCATGCAATAGTCATCGCATAGAAGTAAGACAAAAGAGAAACACCCCCAGGGTGATGGGTGGGTTCTATAAGGCACGATGTCACTTGGTCCAGCACACTGAGCCTGTCACACCTCTAGTGGTGAAAACTGTAACTGCAAGCAAGAGTCTGACGATAACTATCATGTTTATTCACTAAGCACCAGATAGATAGATGGACAAAAGCCAGTGAAACTTACCGAATTCCAATCACAAAGGCAATTCTCAGATTTACTAAGGTGAAATACGGTTGGGACTCGGGCAGGCCAATAGAATCTGCAGCAATTGACCAGATGCGTTCTGTGTCTGAATTGTAGGATTTGTAATATTCCCAAAGCATTGATTTTACGCTGAATAAGCACTGAATGCATCCAGCAGGATTGTTTTTAAGCAAGCAAACAATAATTGTAGGTATTATATTCCCCCTGGCAGGAAGGGTTAGGTATATTTAAGTAACATTAAAAAAGTAAACACAAACAAACAAACTAAATAAAATTCATTGAGGGTCAATAAGACCCCCATATTACTGCAGGGATGTTTAAAGCTTCCCTTTGCCCCCACCTGGCATGTGGCATATCTACTGTTTAAAATAAGCGAAACCCCTGATCCCCATTTATGATAAAGGACCCTGCCCCGCCTCACCCTAACAATAGTGCAGGAGACAAAAAAACTAATAACGGTTTAAAAAAAAAAAAAAGATTCAGCTCTAATACCATGGGAAGTCTTTATAAAGGCTATTATCAGCTATTACATTGTGTAGAGAAACTTCCCTCGCTATGTAATATCCGTAAGAGCGCTCTGTTTGGCTGATAATAAGCCAACCAATCCGAATGTTTTCACAGCCAAGACTTGAGAGAAGTAAGGGTTAACTTTCAGAGTGGTCTATTTTACTGAATAGCCCACAGGTTGGGCACGGTAGGATGTCCTCCCCATTATTTCACCTTTTCTAGTAACTGGGCAGCAATGGATGACCAGTCACTACTTTTAGTAGTGCCCACACCTGCCATATGGTAGGAGGGGCATATGCAGGTTTTACACCTCCCTTACAGTACTATGGGGGTCTTATTGTTTTTTATTCATTTATTATTTGTTTAAAACTATTTAATGGGGCAGATAGCTGTCAAGTGCTGGCCAACTGCCACAACTTTAGATTTTTAACTATTGGCTCACTGGGTGTTTTCTCCATCAGCGGGAAAATATAATTTTTTTTTAAATAACATACAGAACACTGGACACTTTAAAATCGAGTAAAAAGGGCTAACCGAGAGCTGTGCAGATGCTCATCTCAGCAGCTCCTACTAAACCGGGCACTTAACACTAAAATTAACCGCCGTACAGGCACTTAATCGTGACCCCAAAGCTACCACTCGAGAGAGGACACCGAGGTGCAGAGATCAGTACCTCTCAAGCAATGAACCGAGCACAGCACACAATGAGGCCTACAAGCGTGGCAGGCGCAGGGGAGGCGGCCGATCCCCAGCAGCAAGGCCACGCCGGAAAGCCGACTGCAAGCCCTCGTTCCCCCCCCTCTGGACCGTTGGGGGTCATCCCGGTCCACACCCAAATGACTCCTGGGCAAAGCAATGGGCTAATACAGGCTCAGTGGAGCCCAAAAGCTAACGTCCCTGCGACCACCAAGATGGCGGAAGCCGACACATCTAACACATGGCGGGAAACTGAGATGCGACTAAACAGTATATTCACTGCTTTCTGGGAGTCCCTAGAAGCCCACATGAGGGTCTCAGAGCCTGAGGAGATCCCCCAGACTCCGCCACAGGGTACCCCACAAGACGCCAGACGGGGAAAAACAACAGAGCAATCCCATCGGCAGCCGCAGCAAAAGGGCGACACTAACCCGAACCGGCAGGGGAGGAGGCAGGATGCACAACCCAAAAAAGTGGATGCTGGCGGTCAAACACCGGCATCTCCCAGGGAAGGCGGGGAAGAGGAGGGAACCGCCGAAGACAAGCACAAGACCACCCCAAACAAGGCAGGTGAAGCTACACTCAGCACCCACAGCAACTCAGAACAGTCCATGGGATCTCAGCATCCACACACCAAGGAGATCGCACCAGCTTCACCACCTACAACAGGGGGTACCCACCCAGCCGCGTCAAGGCATCGACTGACACCAAAGGGACTGAGACTCTAAACCAGATAGTATCAGACACATAACTCTCTTTGCCCCACTAGAACTCACACGAATGTCTGATGACATATAGCACTTATTTTGTTTTCTTACTATGTTCAGTGTTGTAGCATATTATTTAAGCGTGAACCCCAATGCACACTTGTGTTAGTATTGTAAGCCTGAGTAGCAACACTCTAATCTGTAGAACTAATCTCCTGTTATTTCACATCATTTCATGTTTGTATATATTGCCTGATCAATTAGCAACAATACGCCGCTGGTTTAATAACATGCCTGCGGAAAAACCGCAATAATATTTTCAGCCTGTTAGGCAATGTTTAAACGTCTCTAATCGCTATTATACATGTTGAAATCATAGCCTGTTTATTGCTTTAAGCTGGAAGACCCCACCATGACCCAAGACGATAGACCAGCAAAGCTAACCTGTACTCACTATTTTTATTAACCTTAATGTGTTACTAGCCTGTTTTACCTCTTTAAAAAAAAAAAATGTGCGGGTAATCTATGCATGACTATGTATGCCAATGAAACGCCTGTAAATGCTGTCGTGGTGCTACAGGTCTCTGTTATATACTCAAATGCACAAGAAAAATAAAGAATTTAAAATCGAGGAAAAGCAGATAGAGAAGTACTATATCCTAATTTATCTCTATACAATATGTAAATCCCATGTACTTTGTAAAAACCCTGTGCACTTCCTTTCATACAAACCCAACATTATTCTAAAGGAGTGATGCACTGCAAGTATGTGCATGGGCCAAAAATCTGGTTCGATTTGGAAATTTCAGGTAAGTAAAAAAAGATGTATTCTTTTTCTAATTCAGACCAATGGCATTCAGTTTGGTTCAGCACTTAGGAACTTCGGCACTTCGGACATTCGTAAGCATCCGAATGTCATGAAATTTGTATGAATGTACATTCGGAATGAAACAAATTGCACATGTCTACTTTATATATCCTTTATAATAATTGGCTAAGGATTTTTGTCCAATGCAGTCATACGCAGTAGAGACTGCGTGAGACTGCATGGGACAAACATTCCATGCCAGACGGTGAGGGAGCAAAGTACTTACTCTTGCATGTCCTTCAGGGTCTGCTGGCAGCCGCGATGTGACACGTACAGGATATTGGTCAAGATTCCTGTCATCATTCACATAATTTTCCCTCACTCTCTCTTGTTTTGCCACTTTTCAGAAATTCAAATCACTTTGGCACTTTGGAGCTTCGCACTTCCGAACTACCAAACTTTGACACTTCAGAAGTTTGGCGCTTCTGGACTTCAGCACTTTGGACATTTATAAGCATCTGAATGTCCAAATGGCATGAAATTCGTACGAATGTACATTCGGAACAAAACAAATCGCACATGTCTAACTGCTAAGGTCAGACTGGCCCATGACATTCTGTCTAGCTGACAGTAAGCTAGGCGTGATTAACATGTCACCTGTGTATGGACTGCATGTTGAATGAGTGCTGTATAAATGCATTTAATTTCTAAATATATCTGCATTTGCCTGTTAACACCTCACCATTACATTTTGATCAATCCACAATAAAGAGAAGGGAAATAATAAAAACAAAAAAATACATTTTCATTTGAAGAGTAAAAAAAGTAATCCACTTGCAAGTACTTTGCCTCTTCAGAAGAAAGAACTTCAAGTCTTAAAACATACTGTACCAAACACATACCTGGGAAAATGAAAAAATAAACAGCTCAAACTGTGTGTTTTTTTTTATCTGAATAATAGGATCTGACAAGCACCCTGGGATTACTAACTAATGCATTTACTGAATTTTCTTTAAAATACTTACTTTTTAAGTTTAAAGTAAGCACAAAACGCACACAGGCACAACAATTAGGGGACTTGGCACCAATTTTCCTTCTAGCTGTTTTTAATAAAATATATTTATGTCCCATTGTAGCAATAACTACCAGTTACATTGACATCCCTTCGAAATCACCAATATGTCAGCTGTTCAGTATGTATAGCATATCAGTAAAAATATATGACAATAAAATTAACTAACGTGCACACTAAGGATTCGTTTCCAACCTTACTGGTATATAGCAGTCATACGTCATACGTCATGACGTACGCGTGTACGTTCTGCGCATGCGCTGCCATGCTGGAACGCAAATAATCTTTATTGTTCTATATGCACAGTAGCAACTGAACGTCCTACATCAAGAATGTTCATGGTAAATGCTAAAACTGTGTTTACATCAAGAACTGACGGCTGATTCAATTATATATAAATGTAGCTTCATGGGGAAGAGAAAATGTATTAAAAAGGGAGTATATTAAGAACAAAAATTATAATAAATATAAAAGAAGGTGCATATAGCACATATAGGAAAAATGATGATATATCTAGGATCTATTTAAAAACAGAAGGGGAATGAAAAAACACTAGAAGCACATTTATAACATGAATGAAATGAATACAATATATGTTTATAGAACAGGTCACATATAAGGAAATCCAAGATCAAATAAAAATAATAATCATAATGGCAATAAAGAGACAGATAATATATCCATAAAAATATATTATGTCCATAAATAGATACATATAGATAGATAGAATGGGGACATTCAGGGTCGGACTGGGCCGGGGGGCAGGGAGGCAATTGCCCCCCAGGCCGCCCTAAATTCTGTTGGGACCGGCCGCTGCAGGGCCGGCCCTTTAAATGCTGCAGCCGCCTGAGCGCTCTGTTAAGAGCCTCAGGCGGCTGCAGCTGCTCCTCTCCCCCCCTCCCCTGTAGCGTGGCCGAGCTGCTCGCTGGTCCACGGTGCCCGGCCAGACTGATAGGAAGGCTCACGCTGAGTGTGCACTTCCTGTCAGTCCGGCCGGTTACAGGAAACAGAAACTCCTGTTCCGCGCAGAGTTTCTGTTTCCTGTAAC